AATATAGTTAAATACCTAAATGTTCATAAGGTAAAATCTCCTTTACAAATACAGGTTTGGGTAATTGTTTAAGTAATTTTAATCTCCTCATCTTCTAACGATGATGATGATGACGACGACGACGACGATGACGACGATGATGATGATGATGATGACGATGTCGTCGTCGTCGTCGTTGTTGTTGTTGTTGTTGTTGTACTGGTAAAAGAATACTTTGTATCACTTAAATCCACATCATTATCATCTTTTTTTACAATTATATCTTTTGTTCCACTAAATGATGATAAAGATTCTGACCATTCTTTCGCTTTACGTTCTCTCCATTTCTTTTCTGCCACACTACCTTTTTTAAAATAAAAATCTACTGGAAAAGGTGCCGCATGTAATTGTTCTAACCTTTGTTGATAAATATAATATTCTCTTTCAAATGGATGAGGATCTCTAAGGATAATAGGTGAACGAGTTAAAACTATACCAGCTACAATTCTATATCCTTCATGTGTTTCAACTCTATTAAATTTAGGAAGTTTTATTTCAGGTTTATTTAATCTTTGTGATATTTCGTCACCTACTATGAGAAAGTTATATTATATTGTTTTGAGTTCACAATGACGTATATTTTTTTTTTATTCCTAAGATTCTATATATTTTTTCTATATTTTTTTCCAAAAAAAAAAATCCCGTTTATTATTATTACCAATTGAATCCGTAGAAATTAATCTTATCCTTGTTCTTGATAATTTATTTATTGAAAATAAATTAAATAGATTTTTATCTAATGTGAGAGAAAATTGAGAAAATTGAGAATTTTGAGCGAAACGCGATAGTTTGTTTCGCAGACGACACATTTAGAAAAATTTTTAAAAGCTAGACCCAATAAAAATAATAATTAAAAAAAAAAAAAAAAATAGATCTAAAAATTCTTAATAGTGTAACCCTAAAATCAATCAAATTATGCGAGTTTTTTTTTTCTCCTAAAAATTTTTCCCCTCAGACTTTCAAAAGTCTCAAAAAAAAAAAAAAAAAAAAAATATATATATATATTCTTTGAATTGTAATACATATGTATATGTATGAACGTTTAGTTTAATAGTTATATAGTTTCGAAAAAGGGAAAGTTACATTAGCGTTATTGTTAAGTATTATTTTTTTTTTGGTTTTTTATTGTACCCACGGGAACACACCCAAATTTTCTTTTGGCACTTTTCCCGCGTTCGGAAAGGTGCACCTTCATCACGGCGCCACAAAAGCAAGTTGATAAGTTAATTGTATTCCGGGGTCATCAGGTAAAACCATAAAAAACATGAATTAATTTGTATCAAAGAACAATACAAATAATTATAATAATAATCAATAAATAAATAATTAATTAATTATTAATTAAATTTGTAAAAAAATTTTTTTTTTAAAAAAAAAAAAATAAATAAATAAATAAATTGTTAAAAAATAGCGGTCACCTCCCTGGCAACCCGGCGAGAGAGCGCGACAGAGAAAATATTATAAAATTCCCAAAAACTTTAAGTATGAAAGGATCGATTGGAACAGTTTCTTCTATTGATAATAATATTCAAAAATATTATTCTAAACTATTTAATGATCAGTATGATTCTTCAAAGAATTACTCTACTACTACTACTACCACTACCACCACCACCACTACTGCTACCACTTCTACTACCAAAAAAGTTAAATCTAAAGTTGATATAAAAGAAAAGATTAGTGTGTTATCGGTTGAAGAAATATTGAGGAATCATGTACTTTCACTGAATGTTGATAGTTGTGAAACAGATGGAGAAAATGCCTTTTTCGTTGCAGATTTAGGAGTAATTTATCGTCAGCACATTCGTTGGAAAGCTAATTTACCACGTATTGAACCTTACTATGGTTGGTTGATTATTAATTATTATTTATTATTATTATTAATTATTAATTCACATTATAATTATTATTAATTCACATTATAATTATTATTATTATTTTCTCTAGCTGTAAAGTGTAACCCGGATCCTATTCTTCTTAAATTGCTGGCAGTTCTGGGAACGGGATTTGATTGTGCTAGTAAATCAGAAATTCAAACCATTCTTGATTTGGGAGTTGATGAATCACGAATTATATACGCCAACCCATGTAAACAAGCATCATTCATTCGTTACGCGGCTCAACGTGATATTAGAATGATGACATTTGATAATATTGATGAAATTTATAAAATTAAAAGATACTTTCCTAGTGCACTATTGGTTATTCGAATTTGTGTGGATGATTCAAAATCCATTTGTAAATTAAGTCCAAAATTTGGTGCACCATTGGATACAACCGAAATATTATTAGAAACCGCTAAATCATTAGGAATGGAAGTTATTGGTGTCAGGTAAATATTTTAATAATTATAATAATAATAATAATAATAATAATAACATTTATTTAATTAACAATAATAAATAAATAAATATTATAATAAATAAATAATCTAAAGATTTTAATATAATTTATTTATTTATTTATTTATAGTTTTCATGTTGGTAGTGGATGTTACGAAGAAAATATATTTGTGGATGCAGTATATCGAGCTAGATATGTATTTGATCAAGCTGAAAGATTAGGATATAATTTCCATTTATTAGATGTTGGAGGAGGATTTTCACCAGCATTTGATGAAATTGGTAAAGATAATATCACGTTTGAAAAAGTGGCTTCATTACTTGGACCTGCGATTGATAAATTATTTCCATCTGACGTTCGAGTAATTGCTGAACCTGGACGTTATTATTCAGCATCAGCTTTTACTATAGCCACTCATATTATTGCTAGAAGAACTACGCTACGTAATGATGATTTTAATAATAATTTTAATACCAAAGATATTAAAGATGACGGAACTATTATTACTACTAATGAAAATTTAACTATTACTAATAATAATAATAATAATAATAATAATAATAATGGAATAATTGATACCATTAATGGAAATTCCCCAGAAAAAGAAGTAGTAAATGATGATGATGATGATGAAGAGAAACCTTTATATATGTGTATGTATTATTTATTTATTATATAAATTTAATTTATTTACATTCATATATTTAATAATTATAATAATTATAATAATTAATTATTTTATATAATTGATTAATTTAGATTATATTAACGACGGAGTTTATGGAGCATTTAATTGTATTCTTTTTGATCATCAAGTTGTTCAACCCAAAGTATTATGTAAAGGAGGTGAATTCACATTTGAACAAGAAATTGAAGAACCCGAATACTCTTGTAGCATTTGGGGTCCAACATGTGATTCAATAGATTGTATTACTAAAAAAGGATATTTACCGGAATTGATACCAGGTGATTGGTTATATTTTGAAGAGATGGGTGCTTACACAATTTGTGCGGCTTCCCAATTTAATGGATTTAAAAAAAGTAATATCATTTACACCACCACCGATTTACGTATATTTGACATTTTATATGATGATGATGATGATGGTGACGACGTTAAAAAAATATAATAATAAAAAAATTAAAATATTATATGATATATAAAATGATAATGATATATATATAAGTGTTATATAAATGAAATATGATAAATATTATACAACTTATTGAGATAGTTACTGATTTTGCACTCACGCACCATGCTATTAGATTCCACTTGATATTAATTATTATTGATTAAGCAATTATTATTACATATTACATTTTACATATTACATATTACATTTACATTAATTCTTACATAACATATATTTAAATTTAGATTAAAAATGGATTGTATCAAACTAAAAACTTATTATTATACAAAATATAAAAATATAAAAATAAAAGATTTTATAGACTTTTATTCTTTTTTGATCTTGTTTTATTTGATAAATAAAAAAAAATATATATAAATAATTTGTTAAATTTATTTTTTAAAAAAATACAAATTAATATACAAATAAATGAATGAATAAATAAATAAATATTCTGTATATTTTAAAACTATGTATTATCCGTTACATTTTCTAAATGATATAATAATAATTTTTGTATTCTTTTTTTACAAAATTGATTGATTAAATTGATTACAAAATTAATCAGTTTTATCAATTTTACCATCAACATTAGGATTTATACTCATTAATTTAAGAAATTCTATATGAGAACTAATTGCCTCCCAGAAAGTTTCCTATTATGTAGAACAATATATAAATATCATGTTATATAAACAATAGATAATCATGACAATATTAATTTAATCAATAATAAAAATAAAAATTACTTACTTTATAATAATATTTAATTCCAAATTCTTGACAAATTTCTCTAACGAGGGGACCAATTTTATGATAATGGTGTTGTGATATATGAGGGAAAATATGATGAACAGCTTGAAAATTTAATGATCCAACGATATAAGTCCAAAAGAATGATTCATGAGCATAATCTTGAGTTGTCACGATCTTTAATTAATTAATAAATTAAAAATTAATAAATTAAAATTAATATAAATAAATAAATTAATTAATTAATTCTAATTTTAATTTATTTATTTATTTGATTCTTACCTGCATTTCAGCCCAATCTTTTTTGACAAGTCCATTTTTATCAGGAAGGGGCCTTCGATAAAATAAATATATATTAAAATTTATAACATATTATTTTATATAATTAATATATATTTAAAATTATATAACATATTATTTTATATAATCATAAAATAAAATAAAATAAATTATATAACATATTATTTTATATAATCATAAAATAAAATAAAATAAATTAAATTAAATTAAATTATTTACCATTCAACTTCATCAACAACATGATTGGCTTGAAATGTTAATGCTAACCAATATGACGCAATAGCATCGGAAATTGCAAAAAGAGTTAAAACTTTCCATAAAGGAAGAATCAACATGGGAATAATTAAACGATATACTATGAAAAATATCTAAAATATATATTATATACATATATTTGATTAAAAAAAATTAATTATCTGGGAAAGAAATTTGAAAGAATGAGATAGAAAAGAATGAAAGAGTTACCTTTCCACCCCAAAATATAAAAGTTTGCCAATTAGTAAGAGAATTAAGTCTTATATTATCATTTGATCCAATTATATATGCAATGTTGATATCTTGAAATCGAACTTTAATTGCTAAAAAACCATATAAAATTGGTACAAATATGTGTTGGTTTATATATCGTGAATACCATCGTTGATTTGGTTTAATACGTCTAATGTCAGGATCATCTGATAAATAATTAATTAACATTGATTAATAAATAAATAATATAAGATTATTTTTTATTATTAAGATTATTAAATATACTTACGTGTAAGAACATCAGGATCAGCTCCTATAAAAGAGAAAGTGATTAATAAAAAAAGAGAATTAGTAAAAGAGAATTTGTAAAAGAGAATTAGTAAAAGGGAATTAATAAAAGAGATCAAGAAATAACTTACCCGCAATATTTGTATAAATATGATGACCGAGAACGTGTTGATACATCCATATGAGACTACTGTAAAATACAAAGGATATAATAATTTATGCTTTAGATTACAAATTATTATAAATTATTATTATTAATCATAAAAAAAAAAACATAAAACACTTACGAGCATCCATTCAAGAAGTCATGTGTAGCTCCCAGTATCCTCCAGACAAAAGGATCATGTGTTACTGAAAAATGTGATGAATCATGTAATTGATTTAATCCAACCTGTAAATTTAAATCGTGTTTTTAAAATGTTTTAAATTGAAGTTAATCAATTAATTATGTTAAAATTGAGTTAAAATTAATTATCAATACTTTAATAATAATAATACTACAAATTAATAATCGAAAACTTTAAATAAATAAATAAAATAAAGTAAAATAACCAAACCTGTGAACATGAAAATCCCAGTATAATTGCCAATATAATTTGTAACCAAGTCCTCTCTACAATTGATGATATATAAAATTGTCCATAATAAGATCCAATAAGACTTCCATAAATAAGTGCATAACGAATCCAAATGCTTGGACTATTCTAAAAATTGTGTATATTTGAATAATTAATGGTATAACAATAAATAATAATGAAACATTAAATGTTTATTAAATAATAATTATTATTATTACCTTTGGATCAATTCCATTTTTTCGGAAATATCCTTCAACTCTCTAATAATCAAAGAATTTATTATTAGATCTTTTAAAAAATTAAATCTTTTAATAGATTAGATATTTAAAAATAAATAAATAAAAAATAATCATTATTACTGTTTTTATTGTACGATAAAATTCACTTGGTTCAGGGAAAACAGGTAATTCATGAGATACGAGAATTCCAATATAATATTTTCTAAAATAAAAGTTAAATTAAATAAATAAATAAATAATTCTTTAATATGTTATGTAAATTAAATAATTCTTTAATATATAAATTTAATCACTTGAGTATGATATCAGGTTTTCCTAATTCATGATACGTTTCAAAAGCCTAAATATAAAATAAATAAATGAATAAATATATATATATAGGACAGATATTATAAATGAATATTATTTGATATATAATATTTAAAATATATAAATAAATCGGATTTTTAATATAATAATCATTTTAAATACTTGAGTAGCATCTCTCCCAGCCGCAAATAATAAAACATCTTCACCGCCCGGATGTCGAGTTATAAAACCAGTAATATCATATACGTTACCACGAATGGAAACGTAAGCATCATCACGTGTGTTATGCTTAGCTAGTTCTTCCCAAGTAAATTTTTTATCATGGATTTGACCAATTTTATTATCATGATTTTGTTGGTGTTGTGATGTCTCGTTGGTAGTTTCGTTGTTGGTAATCTCAGTAAGAATACTTTCGTTATTAGTTATCTCGGTAATAATGGTTTCGTTTGTGATAGTATCGGAAGAAATTGCGTGATTACGCATCTATTATATAATCATCATCATTTATAATTATCACCATTGTAATATAATTTTTTTCAAGGAAAAAAATCGGGTATTTTTTTTTTTTTTTTTTTTTTGAAAAAAAAACCTACCTTCACGAAAAAAAATTTTCGAAAAAAAAAAATTATCAAAAAATGCATTTTTTTTTTTTTTGTGATCTTATATATATATAATTTTTCATATATTTACATTTATGTATATGTTATTGTAGATTCTACAGAATAAATATTGTCAATATTGTACATATTGTATATATTGTATTTATAAATATTAGATATTGTATTAAAATATTGTAACAAAAAAGAGATAAGCATAGATAGGTACATGTTTGATTGAACTTATTCTAAACTATTTATTATTTATGAACGAGATTTTTCCTGCCGATTTTCATGCATTTATTTACCATTGTTATTTTTTTTATGCTATGTAATGTAATGCAGATTGGATTTTCGAAATTTAATTCGAAATTGGAAATTTGTTAAAGATCATAATAGATAAAGATAATACATTATGTTTTTAAATATTATGTTTAAAATGAATTAAATTAATAATTAGAATAAAATATACAAAATATCAATACTATTAATTACAAAAATATCTTTTATTCAAAGAGTTTTGTCAAATATTTTCTCTACTGATTCTATTTATATTTTTTGTGTTTAAGACTTTACACAGTCTAAAGTCAACTTAACATAATATAATGAGAGGTTTGTATCCCTTCAAACGTCTATGGAGATGGTGTCACAAAGAATTTCCTTTTTCATAATTTCCTTTATGGGTTAGTAATATTGCTATTTAGACAATTTTTCACCCTGTTTAGGGATTTTAGTAAACTTTTTTTCCTGCCTTCTTGTTTACTTATTTCTTTACTCATTTAATTAACCTATAAATCTCAAATTTATTTTCTTTACGAAGTGCTGTTACCACGGCTGACCTTTTGCAGCCAGCGATTAATTTTTTTTATTGAAATTCTTTCTCAAATTTTGTTTCATCAAATCGACAAATTTTTCCTTCGCCGACTTCCTTCTTTAAACGCTAATAAATTAGAGGACTGATGATAACACTTAAAGTTTGCTTTCTTTAAATTTGAACTCTCATAATACAATATTTTACATCGCATACAAAAGTGAACTAGTTTTACAGATGGGTGAAAATTAATTTCCGAACTAAGAAAATATTCGTTAAATAACCGAATATTCTTTTTCTTGAGAACTTAAGTCATTGTTCAATTAAAGGTGCTACTTTATGTTTTGATTAACTACTACTTCTTCCTCTTGATCAATCAATTCTCGGCAATAATTTTTAATTGCTGATAGCTCTTTCTTTTTCCTGTTGGGCCAATATTTTAGTTTGCAATAATTAACAGAAAATTTGTTATTTTCATATTTGACTTTGTAAAATAAAAGTTTTCCTGCCTGAACTTGTTTTAATTACTCCTCTAAATTCTTTATCTTGGCTAATAAATTAATTCTGACTTTAATAGTGATTAATAAGGAAAAAATAAGCAGGTAATCTAATAAACTGATGAGGAGAGACTAAAGACGATCAAAAAGATTGCTTCATATCTTCGTTCTGTATTATTGTTAACTGTATTTTGTCTATTAGTATCATTACGTTTACGACGTACCAATACGAATACGAGAATAATGTTTAAATCAACAAGCAACAATGCCAAGAATGGGTCTAACTTTTCTTAGTTAATGAATTCTTGATAATTTCCATCTCTCTTTTCTAAACTTACCATATTAAACTATTTTATTCTAAATCAAAATTCTCCTTCTCGCGAATCACCTTATTATTATTGTCCTTTATGAAAAGAACAAAGTAAACATTTAAGAAAATAACTTCTTTCACCACTAAACTGATTAAAAAAAAAGGCAAAATAACTATAATGCAATGAGTGAATTAACGATAAGAGAGCAAAAAAATAATTGTTTAAAAGTGATTACTAATTTATAAGTTCCTAAACAAAGAAAGATTAATCCCATTGAATTTGACTGACTTATGATTTTTTCTCAGTTAATAGTGATATTGTATATTATTATTAATTATGGTTCAAATATAAGAAAATGGAGGAGTTGTTAGATATTATTGCTCATGAGTTTGCTCACGCTTATTTAAATTTTACTGATCCAGAACATGGAGAAGGACAATAACCAAATTTGTTTGAATATGTTCACACTATGGTGACAATTTTTTTGCTACTGGCGTGAAGCAAAGAAAACTTTGGAGCAATACGAAAGCCTAACCAAACAAAGAGATTAATAACATTCCAGCAAATACTCAAACAAGCCCCTATTTAGCAGTTAACACAAATTGGTCGCGTACATAAATTATTAAGTTCTCTCTGCCTGTGTTAATTAACTGCTAACTTAACCTTTCATCCCTATAACCAATTTTCTTAAAAATAGGCGAGTGGAGCGAGCCTTATAGTGCTGATTGTTTGCTTCACTCCTGCTCTTAATCCCACAGGGATTAGTAGCGTAATAATTCCGAAGGAAAAATTAAATTGCCGTGGGCTTTATCTTATTTAATTTTTTGACTGAGAGAATTATGTAGCGTATTTTATGATGTTTCAACTAAGGCTTCCACCCCGCTCTGAGGTTTATTATTGGTTAAAGAATGAAAAAACTTTAAGTTGTTAATTAGGTTGTTAACTTTTAATTAATTTCATGTTAAAATTAAAGATTTTTTTTTTTATCGTCAAATCTTATGGAGGTTTTTATTTATTTATTTATTTATTTTATTAACACCGAAGTTTCTTTTTTAAACAATTAATCATATAAAAAACGTAAATTTAGGAGAATTATTTAATTAAATATGATTATTCCAATGAATATTTAGATTTTTAGTAAAATACTATTATATAATTGTGTTTACTTAGTGAATCAGTTAAAATATCCTAATGATTCGGTATTGGAGACTGTTATGTACGCTATTAATTTATTAATTTTTATTATTCGTATATTGTAAATTATATAAGTCCGGAAAGATACAATTGAAGAAAAACTGGCTTCAATTAAGTTGCTTTTTACTGGTTTTATGGGCTTTGAAATTAATGAACTAAAAATTTACTCATTGGTTTTACTTTATACAATTACAATCCTCAAATTTATAGATAATTTAATAGGAAGGAATAGGGAGTGTGACGTTTAGATTATTTTAAATATAAAAAAGGAAAATTAATCAGAGTGGCGGACAAATTATTTTAAAAGGAAAATGTAATGGTACAAAGTCGTAACAAATAGACTTTAATTTCCTTTATAAACTATTATCCCCTCATTACTTAGCTGACTCGATTCAAAAATCTTATTTTCTAACAAAATGCTTGAATTAACAGTTTTGTTGGTGGCATTATTAGTAGGATATTATACCTACAAATGGATTATTTATCCATTATATCTTTCACCTCTTTGTAAAATTCCTGGTCCACCACCCGACCACTTTTTGTTGGGAAACTTTGTTAGACTCATTAAAGAGGCAATATTTTTTATTCATTGGTAAAAAAAATAATAATAAAAATAAAATATAATTTCTCAAAAAGAAAATATTTTGTATTTTATAATGTAGTTTGGAGCACCTCAGTTAAAGTGGACCAACGATTATGGAGGAATTATTTGTTATCGAGGATTATTTAATGAACCTCAAATATCAATTACCGATCCTCAAGCTTTGCAAAAAGTGTTGGTCTCCGATGTTTATGATTATCATAAACCAATACTTTTCTCTATGAAGAAAATTATAGGAGAAGGAATTCTACTAGCTGAAGGAGATGTTCATAGACGTCAACGAAAAATAATGAATCCTATTTTTTCGCATTCTAACATTAAGGCAATTTATAGATTATTATTAATTTTATTTATTATTCTTTTATTCTTTTCTTCTGCAATAAGAATCAATGATTAATAAATTGTAATTAATATTTTATAGGAAATGATTCCTACTTTTGCAGAAATAAGTCATTTATTAAAAGAAATTTGGATGAAAGAATTAGATGATAACAAAGAAAGAAAAATTGATATCATGCCATGTATATCAAAAGCTACACTTGATATTACTGGAAAAGCTGGTTTATATACTCATGTTCATATTAAAATTTGCTCATTAAAATTTATTTATTAAAAAAATTTTTAAACCAGGCTTCAATCTTCAAATTAATTCTTTAACATCCGAAAGCGAACTTGCATCAGCCTACAATATGCTTACTAATAAGAATGCGGGGACGGGGAAATCGTTGAATAATATAATTGTTTTCCTCTCAAATTTTTTTCAAATAATCCATAAACTTCCTCTTAAGTATATTTATATGCTGAAAGAAGCATCAAAAATTGTTGAAAAAGAATCATCAAAGTTGGTGAATGAGGGTTTAGAAAAGGCCAAACAGGGAAATTTACAGGGAAATGATATTTTATCTGTTTTGATAAAAATGAATGAAGAAGAAAAAGATAATGAGAAAATGTCTTTTGATGAACTTAAATATCAAGTATATATTTTACTATTATTAATTACAAATTTTCCTATTTTAGATAATGATTTTATCTCTAAATTTTTTTTTTTAAAAAAAAAGATAATGACATTCCTTGCAGCAGGTCATGGAACGACAAGTGTAGCAATTGGATGGGGACTATATCATTTATCAAAAGATAAAGAATCACAAGACCTTCTAAGAAAAGAATTA